TAAAGGGCATGCAATAAAATCTATATGAAATTTTCTCAGAATCTATAGTATCTGTAGTATAGTCTAAAGCAGTGCTGTCTAACAGAAATATAATGGATTCAGATTAGTAATCTAAAAATTTCTCAGTAGCCACATTAAGAAAGGTAAAAAGCAACAGGTAAAACTGTTGATACCCAGAAATAATTATTAACTATGTATTAAATATGAAATTATTTAGATATTTTACATTCCTTTGTTCTTCAAAATCCGATGTGTATTTTACATTTATAGCACTTATCAATTCAGATGTTACCTTTCATTAGGAATACTTGATCTGTATTTAGAGTTCATAAAATTTACAACTGAAATAGTAGATATGCATACCCAAGTTCTTCCAAAGTTTTCCAATATCAGAAGTGAATGTCAGGGAATCAAGTGAAGTTCTGTAAAATTTTAAGTAAATTAAAATAAAAGAGAAAAACCCCAGTTCCTTAGCCACACTCACCATATTTCAAAGGCTCAACAGCCGCATGTGGCTACTAGCTATTATACTGGATGATGCAAGTAGACTTTATATTTTACACACAATTTTAACAAGCTTTGTCTGTTTTTCTAATACAGAGGAGATAAGAAGAAAAAAACAGGAGACTAGAACTGACAGGAAGATCTGCTTTTCATTCACTCTGGAAACAATCAGAAGTGACAGATAATCTCCTAATCATGAGGAAGAAAAAAGAAACCAGAAATGTGCATGAAAGTCTAGGACCATTCAACGTAAGGGTAAATAGCCTAACTACCCTCAGTAGACTCTGAATGTCTAACTATTCCATCACTGTGAAATTGGTCTTCATAATGATAATCCTGAGCTATCAAGAAAAGGATAAATTCTACACAGTGTTAACTGGTTTCAGAAGACAGGGAAATACACATATAGATTCTTGGAAGACTTAAATCAAAAAGTTACAAATGTTAAAAAATTTAATCCTGTTAAAAAAATTTAATCATGTCAATTAGTTGGAAAATTCACCTATGTGAAACATTTCATTGCCTGATATTGCCAATAAAAATTATTCAGCTACCTTTATAAATTCTAATCTTCCCTCTGCTAGGTTTCAATAAAATGTTCTCTCCATTCAAATGTTCTAAAATTGTGGACTTATTTTATGATCTGATAGACTTAATCATAAATCTTTCAACTCTTTTTCATAGTCCAAATATATCCTATTTTTAAGCATCCTACATCCTCTTGATTATTTCTCTTTTTTGAACATTTCCATGTGATTCATGAAGTGCACCTGATTAGAAATACATACAGAAATCCAAAGGTATCTGGTTTGGTGTAAGGCTATATTTCCTATGTTTTTTTTTTTTTAGGATATCTCTCCAGAATTTTGAGGCAACACACTGGGCTGAGATCTGGAGGGTAGTCTAAAATTATGCCTGAATTTATTCCCCTCTTGGGTTGGAAATAATATTCCAGAATCTAATTTCCTAGAATTGTATACTGGATTCTTTTCCCTCAAATGCAATGTAGTAAAAACGATCTTAACTGGCCTCCACTTAACTGATTAGCCAGATTAATTAATGTTCCCTACCCTCCTTTATAGAACTTAATGATATATGCTCATGGAAAGCTGTGTATATGAAGCTGTAGGCCAATCTCAAGCAGACTTGCACATTCCTGCTCCTAGCAGTTGACATCAATATTTGCTGTAAGTCTTTTGCATTTCCAAACTAACTTATGCATGTTGTACTTGTTATTGCAATTACTAAATCTTATTAAATATTACCGTAAAGTAATGGGGTTTTCTGGAAACTCCAGAAAGATGGAAGCAGAAGTTAACTACTTGAAGACACTAGGACCTTGGACTTTCTTTTTAGCCTGGGTAAGGATGTGACTTCAAAAACAACTGAGTTTGGTATAAAAACCAGAAGAAACTGAAATGGAAGCATTAAGCATAGAGACTATGTAAATTTCTTTTTCTGAATGGTGATATAAAGTCTAAATATAAAAGCACAAAATTAAATCTCTTAGACCTGGCAAGCCCCTGCACTTTGTCAAGGAAAAGTGCACCAGCTCTGATCTATGTGCACATCTTGCTTCACTAAATTTATGTTCCTTGGTTAAATAAGGAGCACTGGTAGCACAGCAGTTAAGAGCACAGCTGCTAACCAAAAGGTAAGCAGTTCGAATCCACCAGCCGCTCCTTGTAAACCCTATAGGGCAGTTCTACTCTCTCCTATAGGATCGCTATGAGTGGGGATCAACTCGATGGCAACAGGTTTGGTTTTTTTTTTTTGGTTTGGTTAGATAAAGGAGAACTTTCTGTGTGTATGTGTTTAGTCTCTTCCTGTCTATCCATAGTCCACCTGAAGCAATGTAACTGCTTATACTAATGAAAAATGAGTCTGAAAAGAGGAGTTGTTTTTATTAGAAAATGGGTTGAATGCTTTATTTGACAAATGCACATGGCTAAAACATTTGCTTCCAAATTAGCTGGGGTAAGATTGTAAAGATCGGGAGAAATCATAAAAATCTAGAAGGATTCTACATTTAGACTGCTTTGTAAGTGTCTTTAAGTTTCTGCTGCGCTTTAAAGAAAGTGAAAATGGAAACTGCAGAAAATACATTATGGGTATACTTGTGCAAGCAAAATAACAAGGCATTTTCATCTGTTGCTCAAACTCAAAGAAAAGGCCTTGGTTCTAAATCAAAAGACTGACAAATCGATATACATTGATTTAAGTTAAATTAAAATGTTTGTTATGTAGGTATCTTTATTATTATTATTATTTTATGATTCCTACCTTAACACTTAAGATTAACTGAAAAACTACTGATCCTGGTCACATCAGATAAGATTACTTCTACTAAATTTTAAGCTAAAACACTGACAATTTCATCCGCTACTTTATTTGTCCACCCACATAGATTTTCATGTCATTCACCCTAGTTTCCCCCATATGCTTATATTTATACACTGTATATACTCTCTTCCAGATAATTTCTAAAGATTTTAAACATTTATAAATCTATTTTTTGTGGGATTCTACCATTTATAAATTTATTCTCTATTTAGGACCTACTTTGCTATGTCCTTTGTTTCTAGTCTTTGAAATGTTTTTTTACATATAAAACCAGATTCAAAGTGTAAAGTTTGATGAGTTTTGACAAATTTATACACTCAAATAACCATCACTCCAATCAAGATCTAAAATATTTCCAGCACTCCAGAAAATTCCCCCAAGTATTTTTGCAGTCAATTCCTCACTTCTGCCTAGTCTAGGCTGGAATGATGTACTTTCTGTCACTACAGATATATATTTTTTCTAGAATTTCATATAAATGGAATCATACGGCATGCACTCCTTTTCTTTCACTCCAATTCACCCATGTTGAAGTCTATCAGTAGTTTGTTTCTTTTTAATGGTGATCCCATATTTTTATGCATACATGTTGCTGTAAAAAAAAAAAATTAGCATAGTGCACTTACGAAAATACCTCATGGGGAAAGGTGGAGCTGGCAAACAAACATAGAAGGTGTGTGCTATTTGTGTAAAACTACTAGTAGTATTTATTGTATTATACGACTATACCAAAATTTGTTTATCCAGTCACTTGTTGATGAACATTTGTTTCCAGTTTTGGTCTATCATGAATATTCATATGCAGGTCTTTGGGTGAAGATTTTTTTTTCTTTTTTTTTTGAGCTAAATACTTAAGAGTGAAATTGCTAGGTCATAGGCTAAGTACATATTTAACTTTAAAAGAAGCTACCAATTTTGTGTTCCAAGTGTTTCTACCATTTTACATACCTACCAGCAATGTATGAGAGTTCCATTTATTGCATATCTCAAAAGATTTTTAAAAGTGTAATAAATTTGTCAGTTATGTATGTACTCAGAAAAATAACTGATGAATTAATGAGTAGCTAGTACACACTAAGCACTGTGCTATGTATTTATCCATATGTCTTCTTCATTTTTCTCTCCATAGGGCACTCTAATAGATTAAAAACATCTAACTCTTAATTATCACACTGCCTTGCTTCCAACAGTTTACATTTTTTTTTTTTTATATTACCACCCTCTTTCTTGGAATGGAGTAAAATTTACTGGTTTATATTCCAGAGTTATGTCTTGAGAAACACCATTTAAACATATTTTCAGCTTTTCAAATATTATCCTTAGCAAATTCCTGGAAAATTTTACCAATGTATACTTATTGTGGCCTTTTCTTTATTTTTTTCATTTAGGGAGAAAAAGGAAAGCCTTTTTTAGGCTTTGTTGTTGGAAACCCTGGTGGCGTAGTTGCTAAGAGCTCAGCTGCTAACCAAAAGGTCGGCAGTTCGAATCCAGCAGGTGCTTCCTGGAAATCCTATGGGGCAGTCCTACTGTCCTATAAGGTCGCTATGAGTCGGAACCAACTCGACGGCACCTAACAACATAACAACAAAAACCAAAAACCAAGCCCACTGCCATTGAGTTGATTCTGACTCATAGCAACCCTATAGGGCAGAGTAGAAGTGCCCCATAGGGTTTCCAGGCAGTACCTGGTGGATTTGAACTGACGATCTTTTGGTTAGCAGCAGAGCTCTTAACCACTATGCCACCAGGACTCCTTTTTAGGCCTTAGGAAGGCCTAAGTTTCTATTTCTTTTTTTTTTGGTGTAAGAATAATTTTTAACACATCTTTAAAACATATTCTTTGAAGCCCTTCCTACTGTAATATCATTTACTGAAACTAAAAAATAAAACAAAACAAATGTATGAAAAACAAATGCTTAAGCTAGTTTCTCCTTTTCCAATCTTATGTTCTACTTGCTTATTATCCATTTCCTCAAGGTAGTAGCACAGAAAATTTAATATTTTTGAATGTACAAATGATTTATTGACATTTCATATGTAAAAAGTTAATATAATTTTGATTTTTTTATGGAAATGTAAAATCATCAAAGAAGCAACAATGTGTTTTATATGAACACGCCTAAGATAAACCTAAATAACTAAAGTGGACTTACCTTAAAAAATTCCTTTTTCTCAACCTTCTCATTGCCATCTGAATCCAGCATTTTAAAAGCAACATGAAACCCAGTGTGGGGTTCTGTAGTTAAGTGAAAAATGAATAATAATTTAAATCTTGGTGAAATACATATTATCTGCAATTATTTGAAGGTCTATAGATCTTACTATGTAATTAAATGCCTAAACAGAGAAAAAAAGATTACTTCTTATGGTAACAATTTTCAAAGGCTGATATTTTGTGCTAAGGTCTGTTCCCTGCATTCTCCAACATCTTTTTCACGGGGTGCTGCTGCTGTTCTGCTATTAAGCATAATTGAGAACCTAACTGATTTCATTAGTTCTACCAGGGGCTTTTCTATATTTTTACAGTAGTTTGGTTATTCTCATATTGATTATCACTCCTTACTTTCTTTTCTCAGAGGAGGGTTTTTTTTAACTTTTTATTTTGGAACAATTTTAAGCTTACAGAAATGGTGTAAAGATAGTAAAGAGAGTTTCCATGTACTCCTCACGCAGGTTCCCCTATTATGAACATCTTCTAAACCACAGCACAGTGATCAAAACTAAGAAATTAACATTGGTACAATATCATTAACTAAACTACTGACTTTATTTGGATTTCCCCCGTTTCTCCATTGATGTTCTTCTATTCTAGGATCAAATACAAGATACCATGTTGCATTTAGTTGTCATGTCTGCTTAGTCTCCTTCAATCTGTGTCAATTCTTCAGTCTTCCCTTGTTTTTCATGACCTTGGCGTTTTTAGAGTGCTCATCAGGAATTTTATAGAATGTAAGATGAGAGTTTTTTAATATTCCTGAGTAAAGGCTAACTCTATGATCCTCCTGTTCAACAGCCTTCTATTAAGGAGACAAAGTTATGAGGATCCATACAGTACAAGGGAGGGAGAAAAGATCTGAAGTGATAATCTAAACCAAATTTATAGATGCAGAAACTAAGGTATCAATAATTTTTTTTAATGATAAAGACATAAATGCCAAATTTCCAAAAACCCTGTTTGGTAAGAACAGAGAATTCCATATGCTCATTAAGAAGAATTATGGAATACTTACTAGTGAGAATTGTAAGCAAGAAAAGATACTCAGTATATGAAATTAGTCCTGAAAGAGATAAAATAAAACACACCAGAAAATAAATCTTAGATTAGATGGTTTAGGATTAATCATACAGAGATATTAACATTGAAACTTCACCTAATTAAGAACACACTTCTTTTTTTTTTTTAAATAACTACTCTTTGACAGAGTGGAAAACTTTTATAATGGACAGGTGAGGTATAAGTATAGTAATAACATAGTGAATAATTAAATATTATTATAACTTCACCCAGCTTCAATAGTTATTACCTCATGGCCAGTCTTATCTATACCCCTTTCCACTTCCCTCCCCGCACCTTCTACTGGATTATTTTGAAACAAATTCCAGATATCATAGCATTTTATAGTAAAACATTCATGCTATATCTCTAAAAAGGACTTTAAAAAAATCCCCAACAAATACAGTTATCACACCTAAAAATTATCAATAATTTCTTAATATCTTAAAAAGTTTAAATCAGTGTTATAAATTTCCATTTCAGAATTGTTTTTTTTAAAAAGTTTGTTCAAATCAGGATCCAAAGAAGATCCTGGCATTCACTTGGTTGGTAGGTCTCTTCAGTCTTTTTTAGTTTAAAAGTTCTCCCACTGTCTTTTTTTCTCTCTTTCAGTTCAATTGTTAAAGAAGCTTGGTTATTTGCCCTGTCAAGGTTCTCACAGTCTAGAAAATTCTGCTGATTCTATTTCTTTGGTATCATTTTACATGTCCCTTTAACCTCTATATTTCTTATGGACTCGTAGTTAATCCAGAGGTATGCACCAATTCAGGTTTGATTTTTGGTAAGAATACTTCATAGATGACGGTATATAGTCTTATTAGGTCCTCCCATGCAAATGTTTACAGAAAATGCTAAGAACCACTGAGTGATATTGATAGTAAGAGCAAATAGGAGTTTGGATGATCAGAGATGTCACAGAAGAAGTAATTCTAAAAATGGTCTTTGAATTCTTCTTTTAAATTGTAATTTTTTATTGGAAAAGAAATATACAACTTGGAATGGATTTGAGGCAAACTGTGTCATAAACAGATTTTCTTTAAGTGGCTAAACAAAGTTTAAAAAGCAAGTAACAATAAAAGAAAATGTTTCTGGTACAGGACCAGCAGTACAAAAAGATAGTGTTTGTACCTGGATAATACACCCGTTTTGCAATAGTGCAACTTTAACTACATATTGTTGACTGTCCATAGTCCACGCAGAGTTACAACTCTACACTTTAACAGCATGCTGACAGTTCCTAAAGAAAACTACTTAAAAAAAAAGCCATAATCCAGATGTTCCCTCATTTGACCAACTTCATCTAAGTTTAGATGTGCAGAAGGGCTTACATCAATATCCAGAGTAAGCCACATGCAATATGCTACTTGATCAATTTTCTAAAATAAGGTTTCAGGACAATGACAGTAAAATAAGGGAAGAAAACTTGGAGGAATGGAAGTCCTAATTACTATACACACGTATTCTTTTGACAACAGGGGGGAACCTTTTACAGATAAGTTACAAAGAAAAGGCAAATAAACAATTTTGTATAAGAAATTTAACACATTCTGTACAATGTCTTCACTTTGCTGTTAATCATTTGTACAAACTCTTCATAGTTTACTTGACCATCACCATCAATATCTGCTTCCCTGATGAATTCATCAAACTCTTCATCTGTTACCTTCTCTCCAAGGTTTGTCACCACGTGGCGAAGCTCTGCTGCACTAATATAGCCATTGCCAACCTTATCAAACACACAGAATGCTTCTCTAATTTCTTCTTCACCATCTGTGTCTATCATTTTGCTTGCCATATTGTCAGAAATTCTAAGAAGTTAACTGTGCCATTACCATCAGCATCTACTTCATTAATTATATCCTGTAATTCTGCCTAAGAGACTTCATCATAGTTCCCAATTCTTTTGTATAGTTCCATCACTGTCCTTGTCAAATAGTGAAAAATCTTCTTTGAATTCTGCAATCTGCTCTTAGGTCAGGTGGTCAGCCATGCTGCAAATGCTACCGGTCTCTGAGACGTGATCATACAACCACTTGGCTTGCTTGCTCCACTCAGACTGAATGATTGGTAAAATTTTTAATTAAGTAGGTATGGTGTAAGTGGGAAAGAGATATCAGATAGATGAAGCTGAATATGAAAATTAAAAATGACTGAAATAATGTTCACGTGGAAGTAACAATGGGAAATAAAGCTGTTACGGTAGCCCAGACATGAAGAATAAAGGCCTGAACAGGGTGATGGCAATGGGAATATAATTTATCATTCTATGAAGGAAGACCATACCTTAGTGGCTCCTGCAGTGCAATGGGTTTCTCTTTATATATGGCCTTTCTGGCTATGGGTTTATAATTTTGCCAAAAATGATTGGTTGGGCCACAGTCTGCCCTGTGATTGGTCTATTTTACGCACCTTGCAGGGATTGGTCAATTTACTATCCAAACAGTGGTTCATAAAACCACCCAATAAGATTGAGTAACTTGTAGAGATTGGTTGGTTTGTCCCCACAGAGTGGAGTGGGACCTCACTATTATCAAGAAGAGTCTGAATGAGAAACTAAAGCTGTAAACTTTCATCTAAAGCACAATAAAATTAAAAAAAAAAAAGAAAAGAAAAGCCTGGAGTGGAGCATGTCCTTTGGGCCCAGGATCGTGTGCTGAGAACCTCTTAGATCCAGAAGAGAGAGCTGTAACACTGAAGATGGTGTGACACAGTGAGAAATGCGGCGAGCACAGCAGAGTCCAGGGGCAGAGACACTGCGGCAGTAGTAGAAGTGGCAGGAACCATGGGACCAGCAGACAGCTGCGGGGGGTTACTGGCCTATGGAAAGAGTAAGCTGAGTGCCTCTGGGCGGGAGGCTTGCTGGAGAGGCAAGGTGCCTTTGGGCACTTGTTGGTGGAATGAAAAGAACTGTTTAACACTTGCCCAAGCAAGGCAGAGACCTAGAGGGGCCTGGTGGCAGAGCCAGCAGTGACAGCAGAAGGCTGCTGCTAGGACAGCAGCCGAGTGAGCTACTACACTGGCCATGTGTGGAGCCAGACAGCAGCAGAGAGGTTGACATCAGGGAGGCCGAAGACAGAGAAGGGCGGACTGCCTGCAGGTGTGGCCAAGAAGAGCGGCCAGCATGTGGGCACGGCTGAGAAGGATCGTCGGCTGGCATGACTGAGAAGGAGCTGAGAGCTGTCCTGGTTGGAAGCAGTCCGGTCTCCTGAGGTGTATCCTGTTACTTCCAAGTTGATCCTTATCCCAAGTTGTAGCCTGTGAGTATGCTCTTTGATTTCTGTGGTCATTGCAACAAACTGTGGAACCCAACAGAGAAGCAGAGAGTGCTGTGGAAGGGATGGCTGTTGTCAGAAATGGTGAAAAAGTTCAAGAGTGGAGGTGTATCTGACCTTCACCTCATAGGAAGGAGCTTTGTGCTGATCCTGACTCTTATTCCTCAGGAATTTAGGTGAGTTCAGACTTTAGAACACAGTTCCCAATCAAATAAAACAGAAACAAAGGGCCAAAAGTAGTTCAGAACAAGGCAGTATGGATTTTACATCTAGATAATTTGATGTTTTATCTGTAAGTAGCTTCAGGCTTATATTTTAAATGCCTTTAAATGAATTAAATTTTTTTGCATTATCAATTTCTTTGTGGTTGTTGCTAATCTTTATATATTTATAAAAAAAAAAAGCCTACAGGAAGCCTTCACATTTTTTTCTTCTTGAACATGAATATGAGGAAAGAATAAATTAAACGTGCTTTATTGTATTTTGTACTTGGGAGAAATACTCTAATGTTAGTTGAAGGATCAAAGTATTTTATCCTTGGCAGCCTCAAAAAAGTGGAAAGTAGCCCCCCCCCCCCCCAATTCTCAAAGGAATATGGCAATGAGAAAAAGCAGCCAAACTGTCAGTACAGCACTGACAGAACTACTGGGCTTGGTGCCAAGAAGACCTCACCTTTCTTTTCTTTAGACACAGGTACATGTCCTTTATGCAAGTGGAACTTTTTGAAAAGGTAAATTCAAGTGTCTTTCTTTGAAATACTGACTTAAATAACAAGCCTGAATAAAGAGCTGAGACAGTGTCAAAACAGCACCCTAAATCTAAAGACAGATTATGAATAAACAATATAGTTCTAAACAGCATCTAGGCATCTGCTCTCTGAAAATGGTTTTAAAGAAAACTTACACTTCAGAATATTCATAGGAGAAACAGTATAATATACATTTAATTGTAAAATAAGTGCTGTTAAATGGCAATGGCAATGCTTCAAAATTACAATCAAATAGGGAAATATTTTAAATAATTTATATCTGAAAATTTGTGAGAGAATCCTTAAGAGTCACTTGAAGAGACAGTTACATTCTGCTACTTACTATGCTTCTCTAGAAATAATTTTAAGATGAAACCATGCTAAAATATGATCTGCTACTGCATGCAATTTTGAGAACACTGTTCCTCAAAGAGTTAGCGTTTCCACATCTGCCGTAAGAATATATCTTATACTTTACATTCAAGACATCCTTGACGATGGTATTATACTGAGAATTCAGCTCAATTTAAAAACATTTTATTGTAGTAAAATATCAATATAAAATTTGCCATTTTAACCATTTTTTAAGTGTACAATACAGTAACATTAATTAGATTCACAATGTTGGGCAACCCTCATCACCATCTATTTCCAAAACTTTCTCATTGCCCCAAACATAAACTCTGTACTCATCGAGCAATAATTCCCCATTTACCATTTCCCACAGCCTCTCATAACTACTATGAATTTGCCTATTCTTGAAATTTCATATAAGTGGAAGCATAAAATATTTGATCTTTTGTGTCTGGCTAATTTAACTTTGCATAATGTTTTCAAGGATCATCCACGATGAGGCATGTATCAGAACTTCATTCCTTTTGATAGCTGTATAATATTCCATTGTATGTATATACATTTTGTTTATCCATTCATCTGTTGACAGGCTCTTGTGTTTTCACCTTCTGGCTTTTGTGAATAGTGCTG